GTTTCCAGCACCAATGGCTGATAAGGATATGGAGGTTAGATTATTATCCTCTGCCATGTTCAAGCAGTCCTTAAAGATTCCTCTCAAAGTCTGTAAGACAGTTATATATAAAGACATTCATCATGAAAGTTGGATCAAACAGGCTTTTTAACCTTGAAGCTTAAACTTTTACCTTATAATGTAAGGTACTTCACCTTTTCAGATGTGGCTTGATCCTTATAGTGAGGTGCGATTGCATGAAAGACTTGTTTGCTCTTTAGTTGGCAGCCATCAGTAACAATGATCTCACCAACATTTCCAGTAGCACCCTGCGCATCTACTAACTGCTGAAGTTTGGGTCCAGCTGCGCGCAAGATGGCTTGTGAGACTGCACCTCTGTTGAGGTCAAGGTCTGAAGACACAGTGTTCACAATCACCTCCGTCTAAAAATGGTTAGCAGACTGTTAGTACATATTTATCATGTACTAACCCCCCCTCCAAATTAACCCCTGAAATTTATTCAACATAAAAGACACTTGATAGCAACATGTTAATAGTTAATGCATGAAGTCGTTGGTTCCTGTACTGGACAATTTGCCTCTTAATTTATTTATTTATTATTCACTTTAATTAGACATAAACAGCCAAAATCTGAATTACCGTGGAAGCTTCTAGGTTTCCCTTTGTAAGAACGATGTCCACGCCTTCTTTGGTCTGCACACGATTCAGACACAGGTCAGATCCAGTAGACTGTGATACTGGTTGTGTGGGAGCAGTGAGATGAGGAGTTTGTTGAGAATGAGAGTCACTGAGGTTTCCAAACTCCTGCCTGGCAGCAGCCACCATATCCTGAACAGCAATGTCATCATTGTTTACGAAATGGATCTTCTGCAAGGTAATTTCATCATAGTTCTCATAACAGTACTCCTTCACTGCTTTAACAATGGTGAGTTCACACTGCTTGAGGGGAAAGCAGCGCATTCCTCTGCCAATAGATGGAAGAGCTACTGAGACGCATCCGTGGGCCTCAGCAAATTCTAAGCTTCCTTTAACAACTTTGTTCAACTGAGCTGAAGCTTGCAGTGGTTTTTCATACTTGGGTGCCACAGCATGGATGACCTTTTGGCAACAAAGTGTTCCTCCTGCATCAGTTATGACACAGTCTCCTGGCTTGAGTTGACCCTTTGTTTTTTTCATTTTGTAAAATTCATCTTGTAACTGAGGGCCGGCAGCCTTCAAAAGTGCTGCTGCAAGACCAGTACTGTGTTTCAAGTCTTGATTAAATGGACTCACAACTGCCTCTATTGGGTAACTGCACATATCTGCCTTGTAAACAGCAATTTCTACTCCTCCAGGCATCTTAAGTTGGTATAAAGGTGTTGGTACTTGTTTAACGTTGTCTTGTCCACCACCTGGCTTATCAACTAGTTGAACCAGGCAATCAGTTTCAGTTTTGATTGTGGAAAAATAAGTTTCATTTTCCTGGAAGAGCTTCTTCACCCCAGACTTGTAAACATTCAGACTGTCAAAGACTACAGCAGAGACGGCACCTTCAACCACAGTCTTGCAATGTGTCACATTCACTCTGGATCCACTCAGACAGATGGCCTCATTTCTGTAGGACACTCTCACCTTGTCTTTCACTTTCTCCATCCAAGATTTGTTAAAATCTTCCAAGTATTTAACGACAGCATTAGCTTTGACCACAACAGTTTCTTCTATGTGAGCGTTCTGTGTTAAGAAGTTACCAAGCTGATGCTGAACCTTTATGACTCTCTCCTTGTGTCCTGACACTACGACTTGTTGAGCAGTTGTGTTGATTCGAGTTCTGCATGGCTTACTGTTAGCCTGCTCTAAGTGACTGACCAGCTGCTGCCACTCTGGCTTCTTCAGGACATTACTGTCTTCAACATTAATGTACTGAGTTGTTAACAGCTGTCCTAGATGGTCCTGAGCATGAGACAGATCTCTGTCAGAAACAGCAAGGAGCTGCACCCTGTTTCCACTGATTTCAAACGCTGCGTTTATTTGGTGAGATGTGAGGAGAGCATCTGTAAGCTCCTCTTGTTGCTCATCCTTCAACAGTTCAAGCACATATTTATCTACTTCCAGATTCTGTCGTTTTAATGCAAGTACTGCATCTAATATAACTTTGCTTGCTGCATTAATCTCTTCCCCTAAACCAGTTATGTTCAGATTAGGACTCTCTGGTGACAATTTGAGTTCTGGATACACAAGTAGAAGTTTGTCCATGAGGCCATCCTGACAAAGCAGATGAAAAACTGATGGTGACACTTTGATCTCTTCAGTTCTACTTGATTTCTCCCTGTGGATCTTTTTTGCAATCTTGTTAATATTTTCAGAAAGAGATTTCTCCAGTCTGTTGACATCAC